GAGCAATATGTTTGCGTTTGGTCGAGCCAACGATTCGAACACGAGCTCTATCCCTTGGTTGCATCCAGCTGTCAGGAAGATGTCGTCCGGCGTTAGCTTGTTCGGAAGTTCTCGGTTCAGATAATCGGCTACAGCTCTGTTCCCCCCCAAAAAAAAACAACAAAATGAGGATCGATCTAGTAAAACGTTATGGCGTCTATTTATAAAACAACTAAACTATAGGGTCTTCAAAGTCAATTTCAAGATTATACACGACAGTGTTGTTGTTTATGTGATTTGTCGAGTGAGTGGAATAGAGTCAGTAGATAAGCTGAAGCTCGAATCGGATCAAAACTCATTCAGACAACTCCGATGACTTCGCATACACATCAAAAATCGGTAAGATCGAGAAATGACTTGATCGGAATAATATATTTATTTACCTTCTGGCCGGGAGAATCCCAGCTCCGGGACCGTAAGAGTTGCCTTTGCCGGAGCGGAGAACGTCGACGACGGCGTCTTCGGCCTCGATACAGGTGCGGAAGCAAGGATAGACGGAAGGATCTCCATGGCCGAGGGGTAAGATGGTCTTTTTGACGTCCTTACTGCAGTTGTCGAAGAGCATGTAGATAACACCTCTCAGCGTTACCGTAGAGGCTTTAGCGGCCTTATCGGCTCCACCGAACCGCCAAACGGTACCGTGGCCATTCTGCTGAGTCTGCGTTTTGGGCTCTTTCTCAGTTCGAAACGCGGGAACCGCAAGGTTGGCGTGTGCTTGTTCTTCACTCATCTTCTTCTTCTACTCTCTTTTGTGTTCCTTTTTTTGTTGGTTGCTAGGAGATTCTTCCTCTATAAGAAGACACAAAAATAAAATAAAAGTATGTGGAAGAAACTGTAAGTGTTGAAATTTCAAAGGGATGGGATTGTTGAATAAGGACTTATATCAAAGGTTGAATTCTGGAACGTGATTATAAATCTTGGTGAGACCTAACAGCATAACCCAAACCATAAACACGTGCCAAAAACCAATAAACCAATCGGCAATCAATATTTTAGAATTTGTATTTGGGCCTGGCCTAATTAAATTGTTGGTAAGTTAAACCAAACCGAGTAATGATGAACCGGGAATTGACTTGTTCCACGGGTTCAGTTCATTTTTAAATGCGTTTTAACACCAACAAGGTCCCAACCCGCGCAACCGCGCATGTATTTATTTTCATTTATTTTTATATAAATATTTTATTTTCACTTCTAAATTAGTATATATTATATGAGGTGTGTATATCGATTTTTTAAAAGATAACAATTTTACCATATATTAGTTTTCATCAAATAGCTTATTACAAACTTTCACATGTATTTGTATCTTCTTCTTCTATATATATCTATATATATATTGGATTATTATTTCATTATTGAACTTTAAAATATATGTAGAGATTGGTTTTCTATTGTCATCTCTAAAAATATTGTAACAATTCTCAAATTTATAAAGTTTAACAAAATTGTTAGCTTCATATTATGGAGTAATTAATTAAACAGTTAATTTTTGTTAGTTTTTAAAGTAAACTATATAATTTAAAAAAAAAATTCATTGGTTTAAGATAGTATAGATTAATTATTGTTAGAAAATGATGATTATGTCATTTTTAAAAATAAACTATATAATTTTAAAAGTTAACATCGGAAAATATATAAGTAATTAACTTATATTATTAGAACATAAAATTATATAAATTTAGTTTAAACATGTATTTTATTGTACTATCTATAAAATCCAATGGATCATTTAACTTTTATTAGCCCAATAAAAGAAATTTGATAAGCCCAATAAATGTTATTAATAAATCCAATAAATTTTATTAAAGATTAAATAATGTAATGATATAAATTCTAGTAGATGACCCATTTTAAATATCATACATTAAAAGAATCATGATTTCTGTTTTAATATATAAGATTTGGAACCAAATTTCCACAAGTTACGCTTCCGTTTTGGCTCAACAACACATTTCATTTCACCAATACAAGGTACACATAGTTTGACCTCTAAAGAACTGGACCACAATACAATGGTGCGGCTTTAGTATCACCCTGAATCACTTACTTGAATTCAATGCTACCAACCGATCACCATGCATTTTTAACCACAAACGAGACAGCACTCACTCCACAACTCGAAGCGAGGCATATCTCTTAGACCTCTAAAAATTCGACCACATGACATGAAAACAACTACTAACACAATATCACAGACCAACAACAACATTATATTTCTTGTTAGCTATGGTCCCGTAATGTAGGAATTCTGCTCGTGTCCCTATAGCATCATCACTACAAGTGTGTTACTGAAGGAGGTTTGTATCCATTAGTGTTCGCTGCTCCAGTCTTTAGCCACCAACAGACATACGTCTGAATGAACCTAATCCCAAAAAGCCATATGAACCAAGCAATAACTAGATGAGCAATTCATGAAACCCAACCTGTATTGTAAGGTGAATACTGTGTGCTGGTTCCCAATTGATGAGCATTGAATCCATGTTCCAGCAACATAATCGCTTAGAGGCGCATTACAGGTTCTGTTCATGCCGCCGTCGAACACTACCTCGTTTCATAGACCAAGTCGGACATGTTCCGGAATAAAATTCGGATCTTGACAGTGAGAGTCGCAAGCGGATCTCTTTTCAAGCTTCTAGCAGTTTGAGGCTATTATTTAGACTTTCTAACAGTCTCAAGTCGCGCTCCGCCTCTAACCGTAACCCCACCTCACAAAGAAGAAGCATTCGAGATAGTGGAGTTGTCTGACCCGGTTCACGCGCCACCGCCGCAAAGTATAACCCTAGATCTGAAAGGGGGAAAATTAGATCTAGGTATATCTTCGATCCTAAAAGCCGACTCTCATTCCTTTGTCCTTACCATAGTCTCGTCTTCTCTCCAGTCAAAGTCAATCGTTCTTCGTCAGATCTACATTGCTCTGAGGAAGGCCACCACCACGTCAGAGAAGAAGGACATATTGACTCGGGCTTAGATCAGGAAGATGAGAGCAAAGGAAAAAGAGGGAAGGGGAAAGGATGGTTCGCCTCCGACGCCGCCGGAGTGGCAGGTCGGAGATAGGGTTACGGCTCTCGTTTGGTGTCTCTCTCTCGGGTAAAAATATGATTATATTTTTGTTCTCGTCCACAAGTTACGGTTTAACAACAGGAAAATCGCATAGGCATTCACTAACACTTTAAACCTTGAACTTATTTAATTAATATATTAAACCTTTTATTTGGTTTTTGTATCACAAAACACGTTCAACTTAACTTACTTGTTCATCAAGTCAAAATTATTACCTGTTAACCTGCAATAGTAAGTGACGGTTGACTCTTTCAAATAACAATAAAAGCCTAAATAAAAGTATGAAATTATAGAAAAAAAAATCTAAAATGGAATTTAATAAATATCAATATATTTTCTTAAAAAATTAAAGTTTTTAAATTGTAAGTTTTGCAAAAAAAAGAATATTTTTTAAAAAATATATAAAACCTATAAATATTCTCACAAAAATTAAATATTATAAACATTATTACAATTAACATAAATACTCTTTGTCATATCATCATTAAGGGTAACATTTTTTTTTATATCGATAATAATGACACTTTTTAGATACTTAAGAAAATATTTTGATTTTGTAAATTAATCTTTTTAAAATTTTCTGTATTTATAAAAGAAAATCTTCTTTTTTTGCAAATTTTTTTTTTTAAAATCAAATTTTACGAAAATATTTTCATTTTTATTAAATTCAGTTTTAGAAAATTTTCAATAATTTAAAAATATTTATTCAGGTTTCATTGTTGGTTTTTGTTAATTACATTTATTAATTAAAAAAATCAACACGTTACCAACTATTGCAGGTTAACAGGTTACAGTTTTGATTTGATGAATAAGTAAACCAAGTTGAAGGTTTTTTGTGATACAAAGTCTAAGTTGAAGGTTTAATATGCTAGTTAAATAACTTCATGAATAAGTAAGCCAAGTTAAAAGTTTTTTGTGATACAAAAGCCAAGTTGAAGGTTTAATATGACATTTAATTAAGGTTTAAAGTGTTAGTGAGTGTCATTTGAAAGTTTTTTATGCGATTTTCCCACTTAACAACTAACTTTTAAATGCGTTTTGACATCATATGCTTGAAAAAAATATGACGATCAAGCTTCAGATGAAAGCAAATTAACTTTTGGCCATTTAAAATCTTAAATGATTTTATCTATACTATGAAAGCAGATGACTGCTTATGAATCTAGCCCTGAAGTTTTAAAAAATTACAACAATTGCATGTACATTTTTGCCAACAATATTTGCAACCAATCAAAAGTCATTATTTTGCAATTACATTAAAGAGCATGTAATACAATTTACTTCTCAGTTTTTGTGAAAAGTTTGTTTCCTTTGCACCATATCTTTTCAAAAAATCTTTCAAATTATTAATTATTTGAAAGCATTTATTAAATTAAACCTCAAAATAAAATCAAGTTAAAATAACAAATGATTAAAACAACAAAATCACAATAGGGGTCCGAATTATGTCAACTCCTTAAAAAATAGTTCCACTTAAAATAAAAACTAAATCACATAAACTAAATTTAATAAATTATAGAAAATTTTTTGACGCACAAATGAATTTTTTAATACAGAGAGTATTGAAAATGAAAAATATTTTATCTAAATTAAAAAAATAGTGTAAAATAAGCTTAACATCGGGTTAAATAAATAAAATCATATTATGGGTTAGAATTATTTAGAGTCTTTAAAAATTTAGTCATATTTAAAATAACCGAAATAAGTCATATAAGTAAATTTAAGATAAATTTCATAAAAAGTTAAGAGTTAATATATATATATATATATATATATATATATATATATATATATATATATATATATATATATATATATATATATATATATATATATATAATTTATCAAAAATCATAATTTTATTACGTAAAATATTTTTTCTAACAAAAAATATACCGGGTCAAAATCTAGTTATACGTTTATAACTGCAATTTGTGTTGCCTTTAGCCACTTCATCCGATATGGAACCAAAGTGAATGAACCTTCCTCTCAAGAGGCCCAGAACCAACTGTGTTATAGTTTGGTTGTGTTGTTTAAGCATAATCTTGCCGTGTTGGTAATAATAATACAACCCTCAAAGAAATGTGAGAGGTAAATGGTTGTTTGTATATATATTGAATCCGAGGGGTTTTGCTGACCAAAAGAGCCAAATGAATGGATGGAAATTATAACACAATTCATTCATACAAACTACGTCTCTACAGATTTCTATCCCGGTTTTGTTTTCTTCTAATCTCTTCCCAAGACCTGAAACCAAAGAAGCACCCCCACATGTTTTTCAGTTACCAGAGAGCACCAAAAATATTAACAAAACAAACCAGATTAGTCCGTTAAGCAATCCACAGAAGTGTAGAACCAATAGCTCTGGGATTTAGCAGTTACCTGCAATTAATGTGAAGTTAATAGATGACTCCCTAGGGAAACTGACGCAGAGATGATCTCTTAGGCTGGAGGAAGTGTGCGACGACATGTTGGACACTCCATCTTTATGTCCATCCATCTCTGTAAGCATCCCGAGTGGAATAAATGCTCACACGGCGTTACCATGCAATCATTGGTGCGCCTCCTGAGATCAATTGTGGCCATGCAGATTACGCAGTCCCTGCTTCTGTTTACATCATGATCTAATCTTTTGTAGTAGTTGTATTTCTCAGGTAGCATCTGCCAATCAAAACACATGAGCTCTTGATTTATTAAAATAAACGAAGCAACTTACTATTGATCCCAAAAGAAAGATAGCAGAACCACCAACACACCTTCCGTGGAACAAAGCAACGCGACCCGAAATAATGCTGAAGAAGAAGAACAGCAGCTTGAAACCCGACGAATGCGCACAGGCCTATACACCACGCCTTGCTGGGCTCTACACGCATGAAGTTCTTGGGGCATCCAAATACATACAGAGGTATGGCAAGCCGTGTAACCGTCATCCCCGAGATATAATAAGGGTGCAACGGCTTTCTAGAATCCCGAACAACGTTTGCAACTATCTGCGGAATCCAAAATGAGTACATGAGAAGGAGGACCCACCGCATGTAGTTATGGAGCTCATACATTATCAATATGCCTCCAACAAGGATTCCATCTGTTGAAAATCATTACAATAAGAGAAACATCAAACATCTGTGAAAGTCCGAAGCATTTACTTGTAAACAAAAACCAAAGACCCTAAAAGACTTACAGAAACGGCTGTATAGAAAGGAGAGCTCACGCCTCATTGTCTCCCATCCCTCACCGCTGTTTGAAGGCCTGGTTGCTTTCCATATGGCCAGAAGATATCTCATCTCAAAAATCGAGAACACTACAAACTTGAAAAACGCAGCTGTCGCAAATGCGTTAAACAATGATTCTGCATAAGAAGTGAAATCTCAGCTTACGGATTGATTGAGAAAAGCACGAAAAGGACAAGAAAAATATACTATAATTTTCATCAAGAGGTCCGTCCGAGGATTCATTGATATATATATATATACATACCAACTAAAATCCCGGCTGTAAGATGTAAAAGGCATAGATAAGAATCAATGATGGCTTGCTGCCCTATCATTACAATGGAGACCTTTGCAGCACCCTTGTATACAAAAAGAGTTATCCCAGTGTTACTAATCATCATTATCTTCCTTTAAATAGATCAGATCAACAAACATGAGAATCTTACGGATTGTGTGTTACTGTGCTCCATTTGCCGGATCAACAAAAGAACCTGGAGGAAGGAAACCTAAGAACAATAGCAAGTTAAGGAATCCACTAAAAGTCCTACGGTTTTTTGTCATTCTGTGATGGAATGGAAAAGAGATTGGAACAAAGGATACAAAAGTGACCATCAATGTATAGTTCACAGCTTTGTTGTAGTAGACTTCAACGTTAATGGAGGTTGCATTCAGCAACAAGGGGGAGAAACAATCGCCGTCGTCATCTACTGCAGGACTTTCCATCAGTCCTTCAATGTGAAAATAATCTTTGTCCCCACCTACCAAAAATAAGTAAACTTGTCTCAAATTGAACTAAGGCAAGAAGTAGGTCATTTGAACACGTCTAATGGTTAGAGAGCATACATACTGTTTTCAGTAGAAGAGGCTCGGGATATCTGAGCTGCAATTTCGATATTACAATGCTTCTCCATCTCATGTATTGGAGCTGAACACACAAGAAAATTCGAAAGGTGAGAGATGTAGCAGGAAAGCACATATCAGATAAGTTCCTACTCACAAGCCTTTTGTTTGGACATTCTGTCTCTTGGAGATTCTTGAAGAACTTGAGTGGAAAAAATGCCGAGCTGTCCGACAACACAAGTAGTAAGTAAGGTCGCCATAGAATAAAAGATAACAAAGGAATCAGGTGGAGAAAGTGGATCATATTACCAGATGATAGGGGTTGGAGAGAAGATAATCATCTTCAAGGCCTGAATCACCATTCTTTCCGCTGAAATGCACAAAAAAACCTTATTGATGATATAGAATCGCAGTTAGAGGAATGAATAATAAAATAGAGACCTGTTAGCAACAAGGCGGAGCTGACGGAAGGGCCAGATATAAACACCTTCGACTTTAATTTTGGCACCACCAACATTGTGTTCATTGTCAAAAACGTCATGGAAAACAACAGCACCCTGTTCCCGTTCAAAGTTAATAATCATATATACCATTTGTGATGAATGCATAAAGAAAATTAAAAAAGAAGAAGCTAATGACCTGAACATAATGGACACCAGTAATCTTAGTAGGACTAGTGAATAACTCAATGACAGAGTTACCCTTTTGGTTTCTGAAGTCAGGGAACTTGGAAGAGCCATTTACAGTATCTTGAAACTTCCAGGTGCCTGTAAACGCACAAGAAACGGACATGAGAGCTCAAAATACGTCGTCGCAGCTTAAGATAGATAGGAAACAGAAAGAAAACCTCTGTATGTTCCAGTTATATTCCAGGCGGAAAATGGTCCGGATGAACCTCCGCTGCTCAGTTCTTTTTTACCAAAGAGCCACTGGCAACACAAATCATTTACAAAGACAAATCAGATTCTCCATCCTAGGAAACTACTACTTGGTGTTGTATGCAATCTCAACCAACAAGGGGTATGTGATGAAATCATATATGAATAGAGGATTCAAGTCAAGAAACTCATTAAGACTAAAAGCTTTATACAAAAATAAATAAAAAAATAAATAAAAAGAGCAGAAACCTGATCGCCCCAGGAACGAGAGGTCTCTCTGATGGGTCTGAGTCCATTGGCTTGTTGCGAAACCAGAATCGATAAGCACAACAGAAACCCTAATCCCAAATTCGACTTCATATGAATGATATCAAAAAATTTACAATGGGAATTCGGGTTTTGTGACAATCAAATGCATCATCAGGACATAAAAGAGAGAAAAAAGAAGGTTGCTTCAAGTGAAGTCAAACCAACCGAAATCGGAACTGAAGAGAAAGTGAGAGCCCAACAAACTGAAGAAGACGGACGAAGAAGAAGAACCAATTGATTTTGATGCTTCTGCTGCTTTTCTTCTAACCACAACAAATTACTAATTAAATTATTTATTGTCTGCACACCAAACCTAGCAACTAGACTCATAAACAAAACTTATTTAGGCGCATACGTATACTTCTCCTCAGATTCCAACCCCCATTTCGTATGATCGATCAATCATACAACTCCCCAATTGACTTTTGACATATTCAACCAATTTAAATTAAAAACCAAAAAAAAAAACCAGGCAGGTGTGGTGAGGTGAGGTCGTTCGAGATTCTCTATCGACTCTCCGATTCCACCTTCCTTCCTTCCTTCCTTCCTTTTCACGAAAGTTGAATCTTTTTATATAACAAAGGAAAATGGCAAGGTCAGCGAACACAACTAGAAACTTGGATATAGGAGTTACTTACTTTCACTCTCTCTCCTCCTCCTACTCTTACGCTTTTATCTTCTTCTCTCTTTTTTTAATCATCTTGTTTAGTTATAGATTTCCCCAAAAATATATAAATAGTTGCTAACTGAACCGTGATCTATGCAAAATGCATATGATGCACATTACTATGTCAACTTTATAACATTCATACGTTGACCAAAACAATACAACCAACCTTTTTTTGTCAACCATTTTCACCAATCCAATGGGTATGAAACGAATTGGTACATGAAAGAGATAGGAGTTCAATAACAAAGCATCCATTAATTAATTTTATAGCCCAAATTGAAATGGTAACTGAATCCATGTGTCAGTGTCAGGAGAAGAATTATCCGGATATACGTAACACACACACTTCCATCTTGGAAAGAGCTGTGATCTTGGCTGCTGAAACTTCTCCACCGTGATTTTGTCTGTCTTGCCTCCGCTTCTTATCAGTCTCTGCTGTTTCAGCAGCTTCAATCTTCAAGCACCAATTTAAACTCCAACATTCCATCTAAACTGTCGTTTGTTGTTGAACCTTTAATCATCATCGATTGATAAAACTGAGAAACTAATTTATTTGATTCAAAAAAAAAACTTTTCGTCAAACCATGCTTATAGATGTCGAATATAACCACCTATTCAATTAAATTTCTGATATACGAAAACATCAATTTAATTTACTATCCTATATATACCATACCATAAGACTTCACCTTGTTAAAGAAATAGTCCACAGAACATCATGTGAATTAACTTGAAACCAGAATTTGATCTCCACGATAGTGCAAGTATTAATATTTGTTAATGTTTATCTATCTAATTTATTAATGATCAAGTTTTCACTTTTTTTATAAATTATATTGGTTGCTTTATTCTGTTTTGGATAATGAAACAATTGAAGTTTAATTTGCGTTCGTACGTTTAGAATTTTATATTATAAACATTGGGTTATATAATTAATTCTTGTATTTCTTTTTAGTATTTGATATTTTTAGTATATTTTCTTAGAAAAAATATTTTTGAAAAGTTATAATGCAGTATAACTATTTTATATTTTATTTATAATTTCATATTTATGCATCTTGTAAGATATTCAATTAAATTAATATTAACTTGTACTAACATTAAAAACTAAAATAATATTTTATATTTTTAAATTAGTTAATAATTGGGAATTATGCTAAATGGAACAGAATAAAAATCTCTTTGTCCCTTTAATATAAATCTTTTTTTCTCCTTTTTACCCTTTCTATTTCTAAAACTTAATAGAATAAATAATTTTAGGAATAAAAAAACATTACAAAATAGACACAAGTGATGAAATGCCTTTATACACAAACTGATATTTTTTATTTTGAAAAACTTATTAAATTAAAATTTATAATTCTGTCTTACGAAAAGTAGATTTCATCTTCTACGAGAAATGACATAGTAGAAATCAATTTCCACGTTAAACTAGTAATTCTACTATTTTTAGAACATACAATCTACCTAATGTAAAGGACTCTACAAAATAACTGGATGCATATTCTACGTTTTGAACCAATTCTAAAAGTTTCAGAATACGTAATCTAAACACAACCTAGAAGTTTACTTATAGTAGAATTTGCTTGGAGGAATAAGTTCTCGTTTCTACGTTGTGTAGAAGATACATCCTACGGATAAGATAAACGAAAATTCCAAAAATTTAGGAAAATATTTATGAAAATATTCTAAATATATATATTTGTAATCATTGTGGTTGCTATAACCGTTGGGGAACGATTTCCTTTGTAAAAAATACCACAAAACCCAAAAAATATCGACTAAAGGTTGCTCGTTTTCACCGTTGAGTTCAAAGGATCGCACTCGTCTTGTCTCGAGAAAGAGAGGCGGAGAAACCAAATTAGGTTCTGTTCTTTTTTGTTTTAACTGTTTTTAATCCCTATTTTTCTCCTTTATAGCACGTTTTCCCCTTTATTAAATATTTTAAGTTTAATTTCCTTATTAAATTATGTTTAATATACTTTATTTGATTAATCAAGTGTTAATTTTGGAATTATGCAAAATCATATATATAATGAGGGAGTTTTTGCCTCTCCCTCAAAAAGCCACATCAGCAATCCTTACCCGTGTGGGCCCCACTAAATTCCGGGTGAAACTAATTTTAAAGCCATCTGTTTGGTTTGAATAAAACACATCGTTTAATGGAGAGAAGGAGATTATTAGGGTTTTGATAATATTGTTTTTACCGCTGTGTCTCTGAGACGCAATATCTTGAACTCCCTAATCGATCAAACGAACCCCTATTGATTTCTTCCTCGCATCTCCTCACTTCTCCAATCTTTACTATTCCCATTAAATCTTCAGCCGATGTCAACCTCTTCATCTCCTCCATGTAAAGTCTATAAATTAGCAAAGGATTGGGAGGATTTTGCATCTTGAAAACCACTAAACATCTTCGATAATGGCTTCCCCTGATGATGTCGTTTCGCACACTGCCTTCAATGCTCTCCAAATCGGCCTTCCCAGTTCGTCATGGCTAGGGTTCTGCGTTTTTGGGACTCCAATAACATCAAGAAGCAAGGCGAGTTTATGGGGATCACGCTTCTTCTACTTTATGAAAAGGTATTGCTAACAAGTTTCAACGCCTAAATTTTATGTAGTTAGTGGAACTATTTTATTTTCCTCTAAGAATCCATGATATAAACTCAATTTTTTTACAGGATTCTATGATTCATGTGTTCATCCCTGCTGTTTGGGCTAGTTTCTACCGGCCATCCTTGCTTGACTAAGGAAGGTTTCACGGTTTGAAGTCTCTAGATCCACAAAAACGTACAAAATAACAGAGCATTCTTTCATGATCGTCCCCAGACCGCCATTGATGAAGTCCTCGACATCGTCCCGTGATCAACAAACAAAAAATCATGCTGAGACAATATGATCATCTGCAGTCTCTATCAAACACTAACTTGGAACTTCCAGGTGTGTCCCTTGCTAAAGTTTGATGATTTGTAGTGTATTTATATATATATATATATATATATATGAATGGCTGTTGAAATCTTGAATCATGTGTCCCATTGCAGATGTTGTTGGGCCGGTTCATTCAGTCCAAGGGTCTGATCTTGAGGACGCAGGAGTGATGACTCGAGTTGTCGTCCGCTTCATGACTGCACCGTAAGCTTTTAGAAGTGTTCTTTTAATGGCGAACGCTTTAGTACCATAAATCCATTGGCAGTACTTATGAGATAAATTAGATGTGTTAGACCAAATAATTCATTTTTTATTGCAAATAGATCACTTCTGATGATTTGTTATGTTATTTACATCGGTCTTATGCTACTTCCTGTGTTAAATTAATTTAGATATGATTTTCTGTTGGTTGCGTGTTATAAATTGCAATCATCTAAGCCCTGTTAGATGGACCTATAATATCTTGCAGGTAGGTCAGGTCTGCTGATTTATTATGTTATTTCCATCCGTGTTATGCCCCTAGCTCTCTGAAATTATTTTACTTAGGATTTTCTGTTGCCGAATATATATTTCATTCATCTCAGCTCTGTTATTACACTACGTGATCTCTGAAATAAGTTTTCTTATAACCTTTTATGTCTTAATACATCTTGATTCGCATTATAGGTCGGTGGTGGTGTATCTCTCTTTATGGGATGAGGCTGCCGGAATGTTTAGGGGTATCATCGCCTCAAGCGACAAAACTAAAACTGTCATGACTGTGAATCCCAAACTCTTTGGAGGTTAGCAAACTAGAACCTCAATTCTATATATTTGTTAAGTAAAGCTTAAAAGTTTGCTTGATCCTAGCATTCATAATGCTTGCTGCCTTTAATTTATATTACACTCTCAATTTGACAGGAAACCTGTATTTCAACTCCACACCCGGAACGAAATTTTACTTCACCCAGAATACAATTTTGAAACATGTAAACCAGCTTGTATGTTGCAGATGTTTGTGTAAACCTGTACTTCGTTTTTGAAGCGGATACAATTTGAAAACATGTGTAAACCAGCTTGTCTATTTACATTATTGCAGATGACTGGTGGTGTTATCGAGGAACTCCCAGAATGTCTTACCGAGCTTGCTGGGAAAGAGTATGTATTCTAGATACGTGTCACACCGTACAATTTCACACCCAACCACTGCACCTTCACTGTTTCTGGAATCAGCTATCACGTCCCTCATGAGATAATACAATATATGCTTATAATGACCTTTGTATGCAAAACTTGTGTTAATAACACACCTGCATTTATTTCACAGTCTTTAAGCACGAACGAAGCTCAAGCAGTTTTTCTGGGGAAGGTGGCCATGCTTCCAGTTCTAGGAAGAACCTGTGTTTAAAATGGCGATCGTCTTTTGCGCCATGGCGCGAGGTGCACTCAGGCAACAGCAACATCACCATGTACCTCCTAGGAGAGGGTGGCTTCTGTAAGGCGCGCACCTTTGCCAGAAGGTGAGCATATCAAAGGCGAGTTCAAGGCACGCCATGGAGAATATACGTAAACCAGACTAAACCAGGTATGAAACCAAACCTTAATTAATAATTAAACCTTACACTTCTAAAAAACCTAAACAACCTAAACGTCGGGAAAATTAAACGTCTTAATAACTATGAAAAGCCCTAGCTTCCTCTTTACAAAAGAGAAATTTACAGAACTAAACATAAACATAGTTGTCAAGGTTTTTTTGTTTAAGGTTAGAACTCTCTAGTCTCTTATACTCTTTCCAATCTCGTTTCTCTTTATTCTTCTTATAGATTCCTTTGTTCTTTTGTCACAGAGTAGAACCGTAGTACGTTGGTCAAAGACTCAGAGTTAACAACATACAGACACGGTAAGTCTTTTACTCTCTGCACTTTCTTTTTTGTGGTCAGTCTAGTTATTCCCTGATGAAAAAGCGTGTGATGATGACAGTCTAGTTATGGATCATAACTTATGATCAGTCTCGTTTTTGTCTCATGCTATTTACGTGTAATTTACTTTGTTATTTTTTTTCCTTTGATAACAGTTTTAATGTCTGACGATGGGGCTGAGGCTGGGTCGTCTAGACGTCGTTAAGTTGATCCAGACAGAAAAATATGGACTCATGTTGAATAACAATTCCAATTCTTGGAAGTGTATTTTCTGTAAGAAAGACTTCAATGCTGGAATTTCACGTCTCAAGCAACACTTGAGAGGGGATCATAGGAATGCCAAAGCTTGTCTTTTATGTCCACCACATGTGAGAGAAGAGTTAATCAAACACAAGCAGATGAAGGATGACGAGTTAGCTGCTCGTAACTTGGCTCTCCAAGAAGAAGAAGAACGTCTTGACGAGTATGATGAAGAGTGCGACAAGGAAAGTCAGCCACAACAGTTTGTCCCTGCTAAAAAAGATTTAAAGGTCCACTGGACAGGTATGTGACTGCCCCTCCTCCTGATATTTTGCGAGGAAGGAAAGATAGAAACGGTACTCTTGGAGCTGTGTATGATAAAGAGTTAAGGACTGATGTATGTGGAAGTATAGCTAGGTGGTTTTTGGATGCTGGTCTTGCTTTCAATGCAGTCAACTCTCCTAGTTTTGACAAGATGTATCAGTTAATTGGGCAACATGGATTAGGATTAAAACCACCAAGCATGTATGAATTAAGGGTTCCGCTGCTTAAAAAAGAAGTGGAGAACACTCTTGTCCAAATTGAGGAGAACAAAAAAGAGTGGGCTAATAAAGGATGTTCACTTATGTCTGATGGTTGGAGAGATTCAGTTGCTAAGAAAAACATTGTCAACTTCCTAGTTAACAGCCCTAAAGGTTCTGTTTTCATGAAGTCCAAAGATGTTTCTGAAGTGGTATGTGATCTGAACCAGTATTTATTTCCAACATTTATATTAATTGTTTTAACATTTTATTGTTTTTAGGTGAAAGTGCAAAATTGTTGTTTAACTTTCTAGATGATATGGTTGAGGAGATTGGAGAATCTTATGTAGTTCAAGTCATCACAGACAATGCAAAAAACTACATAAAAGCTGGTATGTATGATCTGAACCACTATTTATTTTCAATTTGTTTTAACACTTTAGTTTTTTTCCTTTTTGTAATACACTAACACTAATATAAAATATTTAAATGCAGGAAAATTGCTTGAAGCAAAAAGACCTCATCTCTAATGGACTCCATGTGCTGTCCATTGCATTGATCTAATGTTGGAGGACATTGGATAAATCCCAGCACTGAAGAATGTAATGAAAAAATGCATGTTCATGAATGGATATACCTACAGCCATGTCCCTCTTGTGAACATGATGAGGAAATTCACAAAGCAAAGGAATTTGCACAGGCCGGCTATAACAAGGTTTGCTACTTCTTGCATAACCATGACTCAGTTTCTCAAACAGCAGAAGCCTTTAAGGGATATGGTCAATTCTGCTGAATGGAGTGACTCTAAATGGCCCAAAGAAGCTGGAGCAAAAAAAGTTAGACAGTATCTTATGCAAGCGAGTTTTTGGAAGTACATTCGACATGCTCTGAAGCTGACAACTCATCTTGTCAAAGTACTTAGGATGGTTGATGGAGAGAAAAAAACGGCTATGGGATACATTTATGCACCATGGACAGGGCAAAAGAGACAATCACAAAGTCCTTCAACTAGAATAAAGAGAAGTACGAAAAATCCTTTGAGATCATTGACAAAAGGTGGCAGTGTCAGCTTCACCATCCTTTGCATGCTGCTGGGTATTTCCTAAACCCTTCAATCAATTACAAATATCACGAGGATGTACGTTGTGCTGAAGTGGAAGGGGGCTGGTACAATTGCATTACTAGGTTTGTCTTTTAAATTGTGTTTTTGTTTTGCATTAATAGGTTGGTACACCATTTTAAGATGATAATTTTGTTTGTGTTGCATTAATAGGCTGGTTCCAGATACAAAGACTCAAGACAAGATAATGACAGCGTTGGATGCTTTCAAGGACGCTACTGGTATCTTAGGCAACGAGATGGCCTTTAGGCAAAGAGATATCAAAATAACAGGCAACACAAATTTGAATTACTTTTAGATAATTGATCTAAATAAAAAACTAACAATTTTTTTTTTTAATAGCGGAATGGTGGTCTTGTTATGGATCTTCTGCTCCAAATCTCAAAAGCTTTGCTGTTAAAATCCTTAGTCTGACTTGTAGTGCTACTGGTTGTGAAAGAAATTAGAGTGTTTTTCAACTTGTAAGTCTTTTTAATCACCTTTATTGTATATTTTTAGGTGATTTTGTTTAACTTATAAGTTTTAAACTTGATTTGTAACAACTTCATACAAAGAAGAGAAATCGCCTAGCACAACATCGGCTAAACAACATGGTTTTTGTGAAGTACAACAGAGCCCTAAAGCGCAGAAGCTTGAGAAGTGACACTGCCACCAGAGATCCTATTCTTTTGGATGAAATTGATGATAGCAATGAGTGGTTGGTTGGAACAATGGATGGAGATTCATCTGATAATGATGATTTGGTGTGGAGAGATGATGATTTTCCGTGGAATGTTGTGAGCCAAACTATGGGTGCTGAAGAACCCAGCTATTCTACTAGAGGAGCTGGAGCAAAAGGTGTAAGTTCGTCTAAAACTGATAAAGGAAAAAGTGTTCCTAGCTCAAATCAGAAGCAACGCTCATCTGTGCCTGCTATGACATTGGTTGATGAGGAATATGAGTTGGAAGAAGATTTAGATGAAGATGATCTTGGGTATGAAGATGTTGAGTACGATGATGAAGATGAGAATGATGGTGTTTCTGAAAATGAATTTTAGGTATTAGTTTTAAGTTATTTATTATGATATTATCTTTTGGTTTTCTACATTTGAGGCATTGTTTTGGGTTTTTGTTTTGATTAATTTTTTTTGGTTTAACGATCTTCAAATAATAAAGCTTCCATTTTATTTAAATAAGTGTTGTACGTGAATCAACCATTGCATATGTGTTTTCTACTTTTGGTTTAACCCATCCACATCCATTGAATTGATTTGTAGGTGTCCAAGAACCGTCAATCATACAGATATCTCCCATACATATGGTATGGTTTTCAATATCTATGTTCCCTTGATCTGACAATGTGATCTGTTCATTTGCTTGAAACCAGGCTTGGCACTCACTCTCTGCATATTGTGCTAACTCCAACGGGTCTCTATCAATACCTCTGAACAACTTATCATTTCGAGCCTTCCAAATGTACCAAATTATCCAGGGATAAGGATCCTTGTCCATTTCCGTTTCCATTATGGCATTTTTCCTCCAGAAGAGGTAATCCATATTTGCATATGTGCTTTGTAATGGAAACAAGGTAGGACTAGAAGGCGTAGAAGATAAGGCCCAAACTTGCATTGCGGGGGGGGGGGGGGACTGAAATATTGCATGGGCGACTGATTCTTCTGGCTCCTTATATCGTGGAGAGTGGTTATCACATCTCATATGTCGATAGTTCATAGTACTTGTAACAGCCACATGACCTGTTATTATTTGCCACATAAGATGACATATCTTCTGGGGTGCCTTAACCTTCCAAGCATGTGCTTGAAGTTTTGTGATATTAGGTTCACAAATACAGCTTCCTCCTCCTTCCTCAGTATATTTCTTGCAACCCAATATCCAGATTTGAAAGTGTACTGTCCATTTCTTGTATAACTCCATCAATATGTATCCCTTCGATGTGTCGCACTAATCGTCATACTCCTTATAAGTGGTATATCACCCGCATCTATGTAATTCGCCAGCCGGTTCAGATCCCAGGTCTTCGTTTCTTGGTTAATTAGGTCGCTTACTCGCATATTCGGATGTAAAACTGGTACAGATGGGACGGCTGATCTTACTGGAATGGTAAGAATCCATGGATCCTCCCATACTCTTACCTCATATCCAGAATGAATTTTCTGTCTAATCCCCAACAATAATAATTCTCGTGCCGCTGATATACTTGTCCACACATACGATGGGCTATTGACTGTAAGTTGTCGCAATGGCAAGCTTGAACGATAATACCGGCCTCTCAAAACTCGAGCTACCAGTGAATCTGGGAGTTGGACCAGTCTCCATAACTGCTTTGCTAGCAGCGCCAGATTAAACTCATAGATCATTCTAAATCCCATCC